CTCTCACCTGTCCCCTCCAACCCCACCTGAGCTCTCACCTGTCCTCCCAACCCCACCTGAGCTCCCACCTGTGTCCCCAACCCCACCTGAGCTCCCACCTGTCCTCCCAACCCCACCTGAGCTCCCACCTGTCCCCCCCAACCCCGTTCCAGGACCTGCCCCTGGGGCTCATGGACGACATCTACGAGTTCGTCAAGAACTTCTCCATCCGGATCGACGAGGTGGAGGAGGTGAGGGGGCATTTTGGGGAATCTGGGGAAGGTGGGGCACGGGTGAGGGGTTGCCAGGGCCACGTGCCAGGTGTGCCAGGTGTGCCAGGTGTGCCAGCGTCCACCTTTCCCCCCCCCCACACCAGATGCTCACCAACAACCGCATCTGGAAGAACCGCACCGTGGACATCGGGGTGATCACGGCCGAGGAGGCCTTGAACTACGGCTTCAGGTGAGCCCCCCTGCACCCCCTAGACCTGCCCCCATGCCCGGGTTGGGGGGGGCAGGGGCACGGCAGAGCCCTCAGGTGTGTTTTTGGGGGGTTCCCAGCGGGGTGATGCTGCGGGGCTCCGGCATCCACTGGGACCTGCGGAAGACGCAGCCCTACGACGTCTACGACCAGGTGGAGTTCGACGTCCCCATCGGCTCCCGAGGCGACTGCTACGACAGGTGAGGGGGGCAGGGGCGGGTGAGGGTGCCCCTGGGGGGGCTCTGGGGCACGGCCATCCCCCCGCTTGACCCGCTCTGGGTTTTTTTTTGGGGTGCCCAGGTACCTGTGCCGGGTGGAGGAGATGCGGCAGTCGCTGCGGATCATCCTGCAGTGCCTCAACAAGATGCCCCCCGGGGAGATCAAGGTGGACGACGCCAAGATCTCGCCCCCAAAACGGGCGGAGATGAAGGTAAAAAGGTGTCCCTGGCACACCCTGGGGCAGGTGACACCCAGGGCAGGGGACACCTGCTGTAGGATCCCCCCACCTCTCTCCCCAGACCTCCATGGAGTCCCTGATCCACCACTTCAAGCTCTACACCGAGGGCTACCAAGTGCCCCCCGGGGCCACCTACACGGCCATTGAGGCCCCCAAGGTGACACTCGTGGCCCTGTGACGAGGGACGGGGGGTGTCCCCATCCCCATCTGCGTCCCCAGCCCTGTCCCTGTGTGTGTGCCCCTGTCCCTGTGTGTGTGCCCTCGTCCCCAACCCTGTCCCCGTGTCCCCAGGGGGAGTTTGGGGTGTACCTGGTGTCCGATGGCAGCAGCCGCCCCTATCGCTGCAAGATCAAGGCCCCCGGATTTGCTCACCTGGTGAGGGACAGGGGACACCTAGGGGGGGTCACCTGGGGACACCTGGGGACAGGGGACACCTGGGAGGACACCTGGAGACAGCTGGGGGGGACAGGGGACATTGGAGGGACAGAGAACACTACAGGACAAAGGGGACAAAAGGTTTAATTGGGGGTCTCTGGGGTTTACTGGGGGTCTCTGGGGTGACCTTAGGGTTGATTTGGGGTCCCTAGGGGGGGCTGTGGGTTCACTGGAGGTCCCTGTGGAGGTCTGTGGGTTAATTGGAGGCCTCTTGGGGGGTCTGTGGGTTTACTGGGGGGGTCTC